TGAGCAGCTCGGGCAGGACGTAATCGAGGGGGAGGGGAATGAAAGGGAAACGCGCGGCCACGTGACCATTGATGCGAACGCGGGGGGCGTTCCCGTATTGGTGCTCGCACAGACGCCTGGGACAGGTGAGACGCACCTGAGTGACGTCATCACGCTCACCTGAGTCACCCCCAGTCACCTGTGTCACCCATTGGCGCCCCCTGTCACGTGACCATTGATGCGAACGCGGGGGGCGTTCCCGTATTGGTGCTCGCACAGACGCCTGGGACAGGTGAGACGCACCTGAGTGACGTCATCGGTGTCACCTGAGTCACCCTCAGTCACCTGTGTCACCCCCAGTCACCCATTGTCACCCCCTGTCACTCAGTGTCACCCAATACAAACGGGGGGCGTTCCCGTATTGGTGCTCGCACAGACGCCTGGGACAGGTGAGACGCACCTGAGTGACGTCATCACCCTCACCTGAGTCACCTGTGTGATCTCACCTGGCAGCCACAGTCACCTGCTGTTCCCTGTGTCCTCCCCAGGTGTGTCCCAGGTGTGCCCAGGTGTATCCCAGCTGTCTCCAGGTGTGCCCAAGTGTATCCCAGGTGTGCCCAGGTGTATCCCAGATGTGCCCCAGGTGTGCCCAGGTGTATCCCAGCTGTCCCCAGGTGTATCCCAGGTGTGCCCAGGTGTGTCCCAGATGCACCCAGGTGTCCCCAGGTGCCCCCAGGTCTATCTCAGGTGTATCTCAGGTGAATCCCAGGTGTCCCCCAGGTGTCCCCCGGTGTGCCCAGGTGTATCTCAGGTGTGCCCAGGTGTGTCCCAGGTGTCCCCAGGTGTGCCCAGGTGTCCCCAGGTGTATCCAGGTGTGCCCAGGTGTGTCCAGGTATATCTCAGGTGTGCCCAGGTGTATCCCAGGTGTATCTCAGGTGTGCCCAGGTGTGTCCCAGGTGTATCTCAGGTGTCCCCAGGTGTCCCCAGGTGTGTCTCATGTATCCCCAGGTATCCCCAGGTGTATCTCAGGTGTGCCCAGGTGTCCCCAGGTGTGTCCCCAGGTGTGTCCCCAGGTGTATCCCAGGTGTATCCAGGTGT